AGGTGTGGGCAAAGGGGGGGTCATGAAGTCCTTGGTGCCACATGAGGACTTTGTGCTTTTGTCTTTTCCACCCCCGGGGAGTTTCCCCTGGGGAGTGTCACCATAGTGTCTGAGCTTCTGAGAGATCACTCTGGCAAGGTGCTCTTGGGATGGATGGTGGATCGGGAAGGGAGAAATTTGGGCCTGTGGAAATTATCTCCATGAGAACAGGCAAGGGACTAAGCAGGGTGCAGACAGCGTGCATGGAAGGGAGCTTCTTGATTTAAAGATATTTCTGAGGTAACAGCACTTGACCTTGATAATTAGTTGGGCCTTGCGGATTAGGAAAAAGGGGGGCATTGAAGATGTCTTGGAGAATTTTGGCTTTGGGAAGCTGATGAGTCCATTCAATGAGACATTTCCAAGCAAGAAGTCTTACATTTGAGTGAAATGCAACGTCAGAATCCTCTCTAATGCCTTTCATTATCTTGTGAACTGCAGCCCTTTCATCCCAGCAAAAGCCACGCAGCAGCTCTCTCGTGCTTCTGAAATAATGAGGATAATGATAATTATTATATTAATTTTAGTATGACATAAATAGACCTTTCTCTGGCAGTGAAATGAGTCACCTTCCTACAACTCACTATCAATCCCTGTTAGCTTTCTGCTCTCTCCAGCCTCATGATTCCTGTATTTTTTCCCTCCTTCCAAATGACATTGATTTTTCTGCCCTGAGGGCTTTTAACCTGATTTTTCCCCCCAAAACTACACGTGCAACTTTCCCATTTGTTCATTTATTATTTCATTCATTCAATTATCTAATAATATTAACCTCCAGGTATCCTGCTACACCTCGGGGCAAACGGATGATAAGACAGGGTCTTTCACATTCCAGGACCTACAGGCTACGTGCGAGACAAATAAACATTGATTCATTTAAGTGGTAAAGAGATGGGGACTTCATGGGGGCAGGAAAAAAATGATTGATTCTATCAGGGAGGCAGGGAGTGATGATCAGACAGGGCTTCATAGAGGTGACGCTTCAGCTCAATCTCCCAGGAGACCTGGACAAAGTACTGTGGGAAGGGCCAGTGGGTGGACAAAGGCATAAAAACCTGAACTGCCTGAGATGCTGGCAGGTAATGAGCAGCTTCACATGGTCTCGGGATGCAGTTCAACGCCTCTGCTTGCCTTTCCAGATTCATCTCACGCCACTCTCCCCTAGCGATAAAAAAAACTTTTCCATCCCCACTTAGACACACTGACAGCCACGGAACCTTCAAACCATCCCAGTAATACATTGTTGGCACACGTGGGAGCTGAGACAAAAAGGATCATGTCTGCAGTTCCCATAATCGAGCACTGGGCGGCGCTGCCCACCCACCAAGGCGGTCAGGCTCATTAGGAAGCCCCAGAGTTTAAATAAGCATGTTACAGGCGACAAGACTCTTGAGAATCATCCCACCCAAGGAACCGGTGAGACGGTTGTACAGTCAACTCTGAAATTTAGTGAGGGGTGGGAAGGGAAGTGTGCTTAAGTGGGACAAGTTAAAAAAAAAGCTGACTTTGGGGAAGAGAAGAGGGAAACTTTCTGCTCTGGTATCTCTCTCTCTCTCTCTCTCTCTCTCACACACACACACACACACACACACACACATGCATGCATACATGCAGAGGTTTTGGGGTGTGCAAGCAGCCAAACCTAAGGCTTGGCCATGGTCTCTGGTGCATCCTAACCAGACACTATTACAAGTTATGAAGATTCTTCAAATATTTACCGCCAGTCCTGAGCAGCGACATAGAGGAGATTGATGCTCAACAGCTCAGTGGCCTGAGGTCACTCTGGACAGCCCTCAAGCTCAGAAGTGGCCATGGCCCATGGCTGAAACCTCTAAGATGGTGACTCACCACGTTTGTTCTGGAGCAACTGCACACACAGAGAGCCAGGCTCAAGCAAGTGGGTTCTCTTCATCCCTAAGTCTATCCCACGATCATTCAAAATGTTTTTCCAAGCAGGAATTTGAGTATAGGTCAAACAGGCCTGGGATGGGGATTTGTCCTTAAAAAGTACATAGTGCATTGAGAAACTCCTGCTAATGGAATGCCTAGACCTGGTACTATTTATTCAATGTGTTCATATCGGTCAATTAAATTTACAGAGTACCTGGGACGTATTGTTTTGCTACTATGATTAACACTTATCTGTGTAACATTCTTTTTTAAGTTCTACAAAATTACTATGAGAAAAAAATTTGATGGTAACTATTTTCAGAAGGGAAATGAGGCTTAGAGGAGTTAGTTTAAAAGACCAAGATCACTTAATTTTGCCATTAAGAGGTAAAGGCTCTTAACCTACGTGTTTGGTGCTGTAGTCTTTGCTTGTTTATAATATGTAGAAATGAACTGCCTGCTGCATTGGAAAATGCAAGCTGAGCACAAGCAATCAAGATTCATTAATGAAATGTTCGTATCTGGAATAATAAGGGTGGCTTCTGTGTCATAACCGAGTCCTCGCTGATACATGCATGTGCTAAATTGTGCATGCAGTATGTCTTATGTTTTTTGTGTGTTCTTCCTGTCTCTCTGAGCTTCCTTGTATATATTTTTCTCTGCTATCGCTCCCTACTCAGTCATCTCGCATCGACTGCTATTATACCCTCTGCTGAGTTATTAATTTCAGTTTTTGCATTTTAAATTCTAAAGCTTATATTTTATTCCTTATTTGTTTTTCATGATCTACTGACATTCTTCATCTAATATTGACTTTCTTAGCCATGTTATTAAGAGTTGTTTAATATCCATGTCTGATATGTCCATTATTTGTATTTCCTGTGAGTGTATTTTGTTCCTCATTATTTGCAATTGATTTCCATCTTTTCAGTGCATGGCTGTTTTGCTTTATTTATTCATTTTTTTAATATTTTAAAAGGACAGGTTTATTAGGAAAAGGAGAAAGAAAAAGAAAGGCACCTGCATAGATGCAGTGGGCAGGAAAGCTGCAGTTGTTTTAGTGTTAAATGTTGGAAATGAAAAAATATGAGTAATCCCAGGAGCAACATCAGTTTTTACAGGTGATTTTGTCTCTCAAGGTACCTTTGGCAATGTCTGCAGGTGGTCAGTTTGTCAACTGATAGAGGTGCTACAGACATCTAGAGGGTGAGGCCAGGGGGTTGGTTCAGCAGACCCCCAACCCTTTTACCACAAAGAATTATCTGATCCAAAATATCAGTCATGGCCAGATTGAGCCACTCTGCTCTCCACGTTTTCTTCCCCCATAGTGGGTTTGCTTTCACTTGGGTAGGGATCATCTTATTCCAATAAGTTAATAAGCTTTTCAAAGCTGACTGCAGAGTTTAAGAGAGCTGGTCTCTTGTCTGCTCATCTATGGTCCTCACAGATAAACATTTAGAGGTTCCAGTGGAAAGCCTGGTATGTTTACCAGAATTCTCCACTTTGATGGCACCAGATCCTAATTTTTGCCCCTTCACCCTATGATTCTGGAGAGCTGTCTGCTCAGCTGTTCGCAATCCCATTAAAATTAATAAAATGCCTTGAAAGGTAAAATTGTACCAAATATTGGTGTCAGGCCTTACTTTTTTATTTTTTTAATGATATTGACTCCTTTGTTTCTCTTTGATGTCTTCAAGCAAATGTTCATATTCACTCACTCCAGATTTTCAGTCGAAAGTTCAATCTGAAACAAGTGAGTCTACCTCCCATGCTCTCCTGTGTCTTTTTAATTAAGATGTAATTGACATATGACTTTAAATTGAAGTTGCACATCGTGTTGATTCAATCCACTTGCAAATTGCAATGTGATTGCTCCCATTGCTCTCATTGGCACCTCCATCACGCAGAATTGTCATTTCATTTTGAGGTGAGAACTTCAAAGACCTAGTCTCCTAGCAAGTTGCAGTATAGAATATAGTATTGTTGGTTGTAATCACAATATTGACTTTCAGGTTTCCAGAACATCTTCAGCTTCTAACTGCAAGTTTGTGCCTTGTAACCACCATCTCCCCAATTCTCAGCCACCCCAGCTCCTGGTAACCCACCATTCTGATCTCTGCTTCTAGGAGTATGGCTTTTAAAAATTCCACATTTAAGTGATACCAAACAGCTTCTGCTGCTGCTGGCATCCCCGTGATGCCGCCCTTAAAAGCACAGTCTCAGCCCAGGTGAATCCCATCTACCTATGCCCACACCCTATTCCAGATGCCCGCCATCAGGCATGCATTCAGGACAAGGATCCATCATCTATCTTGATGGCGGGAGGGCAGAAAAGCCTGACATTTTTCCTTACCCTACACCCACCTACACAAATTTGGGGTGATACGGGACATGAATATATGTAAAGCTCAATGCCAAGTTCCTGCCACAATATTCATGCTCAAAATAGTCCCTATCAATGGTTGAGAGTTTCACAAGTGAATTCCTTTAAAAATCAGCAAAAGCAAAAATATTCCATTTTACAATGAATCTTCACATGTCAGTTGTTTGAGTAATGAGACTTGCATGTATTTAACAGAGCAAGATGCTCTCACCTTAACATCTTGCCTGAATTTTTATTTATTTCCTCCACCCCTGTTGGGTTTCACCCTCCCAACTCCTGCAAGGATACAAATTCCAAGCAGGGAGTTAGAGGCCAGGTAGGCAGGACTCAGGTTACAGGTTATATGTCTTCTGTGGGCTCCTTGTAACCAAACCCAGAATAGTGGGGTTTTTGTCAGGCTTCCATCAAATGGGGTGTTTCTCAGGCTTCATTTCCCCACCTTCTTCAAAAGGGTTCCAGCTACCCACCCCATCTGACCTCCTTCTGGACACAGCCTCATTGTGTTCCAATTCTCCAGAGAGTCACCAACCTCCAGACAGGAACATTTACCTCTCCAGACAACTATTCTCTCCATTCCACTTCCTTCCTCATAGGACCATTTGTGCCTTTTGACCAGGATTTCTTTTTGAAAAAGGCCTTTTCCTGTACTCACTGCCCCTTCGTTTGTTTCTGTCATTACAGAGACATCCTAAGTGCCTCCGGTGATGTCTCCTTGTTCCTTTCTGCCACCATTCACAGTGATCACTATGGCTTCCATCCTGCTGGTGCTCAGATGAAGCAGAAGCTGTCAGAGGAACGCAGGTGTGTGATCTTAATCCTCTACAACTGTGGGTCAAGAAGCCTGCTGTTAACCTCCATAAATGATTGAACAAAACAGGCTTGGAGAGGGTAAGCACCCTTCCTGAAGCCACAGGATAAGCAGGAGTCTCTGTTGTCCACTTTTCTCTACAAGCACTTCCATCTCCCTGGTCAAGGCTGCCAGCCAGCAGCTGGACTGGTTCCCTAGCCTCTAAATGGGTCACGTTTCTCCAGCCCTGATCCTCTGCAATCTGTTCTCTATCTACCTCAGCAAAGTGAAGTTATAAGACAGAAAAAAATCATGTTACTCCCTTGCTTAAAGCCCTTCGTGGCTTCTCACTTCTCTTAGGATAATGTTCTAGGTCCTTACATGACCATTGAATTGCCTGAGTTAGCCTGAGTGCTCCAGCCTTAATTTACTCCTCCTGACCCCTTCCCCATAGTCCATGACCCAACTTTGTCAGACTTTGGTTGAGGTCAAATCTAGGAAAGCAATATACAATTGTCTCTAGATCTTGCACTGTCTGTTCCCTCAGCTCAAACACTGTTCCTTGCCTTCCTCCCTTACCCCTGGAAGAAAACAAAGGCATCTCCCTTTCTTTTCTATGTTATACTTCCCCACAAATCACCTGAATTCCCAGGTAACTTAATACATTTATTGGGTTTCAATTGCATCATTTAATTCATCATGAAACTTCCACAGATGAGGAAGTTGACCTCAAGCAACCTACATGTACAACCTTCCCATTTGTTCACGCATTATTTCATTTATTTAAGCCAAGTTCTATCATGCTCAGGTCTGTCCAACCCTGGACACTGTGATCCTCCCTCTGAGCTTTGTTGCCATGACATTTTTCAAGGTTAAAAACAACAGCAGGTAAATGCAGCCGGAGGGAGGGATTATCCATGAGGTTGAAATGAATCCTATAAATTTGGAGAAATGGAATCTTAATCCTGAATGGGGACGTGGGGGCAGGAGCTGAGTTCCAGCTGGAAAGTGGGTCTCTGCTTTCCAAATCAGAGCATTTTCTTTGTCTGTCTTTACACGGCTACAACCACAGGAGCTGTTTTATTAATGCCCTTGACAAAGCCCAAGAAGATGATCTGTCCTTCGCGGCACAGGGTAGCTGAGGTCGGGGCTGGGAAGCTGGGGCACAGCAGGCCTCCTGTATGGGAGCAGAAGGGAAATGTGCCAAGGAGGCAGGAGCCCCAGACACCTGGGCTCCAAAGGGTTCTCACCATCTCAACCCCTCTCACCCTTGCATACCCTCCTCACCCCTGCTCAACCCCACTCTCAGTGCTCGCTGGAAAGCTCTAAACAGAGGGCTCTGCTGTCTGCCAAATTCTTGGAGGTCTTACTCCACTGTGTGACTTTCATCACCTCCCGACCTATTCAGCTTCATTTCCTCATCTGCAAAATATAAAGCAAGCGCTACTTCAGGCACAAGGTCTTGCTGATTTCATCACAAGCTTTATATGTTAAGAGGGACTAGTGCAGAGTCTTCTTTTGTTGATTTCTATGTGGCCAACTGCCCTGTACCTAGAAAAATGGGATTGAGAAGATGCAGGGGATTTCTGGATTGGATGCTCCCCTCGTGCCCACGGCTTTTGGTCTAAACCTTTAAACCTCCACCTAATTTGCCTGAAAGGATCTGATCTCCTTCAGCCTGGTCTCCCCCGAGCGTCACTCCGCTGACATCTGCAAAAACTCGAAGGCTCTAGGTGCCCTGCCGGTGACAGCGCCTGGGGCCTGCGAATTCCAAGGTCCTAGAGAAATCGTCAAGATCTCTGGTGTGAAGTGATTGGCTCAGAATCCCGAGAGCCGTAAAGTCTAAGTGAAGTTTCATTCAGCGTGTCTGCAACGTGCATCCTTGCCGCTTGTACAAAACTTTCGTAACTTGTAATTTTATCATTTATCAATTCTAGTTAATGTGGGGTGGGACGTGGGGGACATTTTAATATGTTTGAGGTGCAGGGCCAGAGTCCGGAAGCACACCCACAGCGAACCTACCCAGCCCGCTGCGCTTTGCATAGGTGCCTCAGGCTCCTGGAGGCCCTGGGCAGGGAGACGCCCTGCTCTGTCTCCACGGGAGGTCTCTGTGCTCTCACTCCCCTCAATACTTCTCCTCAGCCCAACCTCCCAAGCCTGGTGGTGAAGCCTCACCTCAGCGCGCTCTCGGAGCTTTGTCCTTGAAGCTCTTAGTCTGGAGAGAGGGCGGTGGCCAGATCCAGATCCACGTGGAAACAGTGTTAAGCCAAATTTCCTGGGCACAGCTGGCCAGCTCTCTGGTTTTCTCTGACTTGAAAATTACAGGAATTTGTAGGGTCTCTCTAAAAAAACTTAAGACCTTCGCAGGGCCCGTGGCCCTCAGCTTAGGGTATTTCCATGGAAGAGCCTCTCTGCACCGGGGAGCTCAGGGGAGTGTAGGAGCAGTCACGCAGCCAGCTTCTTTCAGTTAATAATCAGGCCTCAAAGAGCTCTGGGGCCAGCTGTGCTGCAGGCTCTGGCCTCCGCCCAGGCCCGCCTTGAACCCGTCCAGTGAGCAGACTCGCCAGGCCTCGCACACACGCTGCTGTGCTTTTTTATGAGCTTTTTTTTTTTAGCAGATCTTTTTTGTTGCTCGCTGCCTCACATGGAATTTTCCTCTTTTTTGTTGTTATTATCTCAGCAATGCATATTGATTATGGGAGAATTACACCAACAGATAAACAGTGACTCAACCCCCCATCACTCTGGTTCTGTGTCTGATGATCAAATCAGCCACAGCAGCAAAATGCCAAGAGCCTCCTGCCAGATGGTAACAGCGCGAGTACCAGCGAGTCTGCAGCCCCCGGTCGAGGCGGGAAAGCATAGACTGGGGGTCACCTGGTTTGCATGTGGTGTTGGAACCCAGCTCCCCATCTGTTCAGAAATCTTCACTCAGACTGGTCGGATCAATAAGGACAGCCCTTGATTTACAGATCTGGAAGTTTCCAAACTGTCTCAATCTGGTCTCCAATTCTCCTGGCCATGCCCACCCCGCACCAGACACCTTCAGGCTGACAGGGAGGTGGCAGCTGCACCCCAGAGCTGAAATCCACACACTGCGAGGTCAAGGGTCAAGATGGTCTCCTGCTGAGGCTTGCTCCAAAGAGTGAGGACAATATTTGCAGAAGCTGCAGGTCAGTTCCCTTGCATTTTTTTTTTAATTTTAATAACATTCTATTGATTTACTGTTTATTTACACTACTGCATAAATTCTGAGGGTACTTCTTTGCCTCTATGTATATACAAACCTCACCTCACTCACCACCAAAGTTCTGTGCCCTTCCCACAATGCTCCCTCACCCCATGACCATCCCCTCCCCCTCTGGTAACCGCTCTGTTTTTCAGAGTTTGAGTTGTTTTTGTTGTGATTTGCTCATCTTTCGCTTTGGTTATTTATATTTTGCATGTGGGAGGGAGATCACCCATGCAGGGTAATTGTCTTTCCCTTTCTGACTTATTTTGCTTAGGATAGTCATCTCAAATTTAAGACCTGTTGTTACGAATGGCAAGATTTAATCCTTTTTAATGGCTGGCTAGTATTCCATTGTGTATGTATACCACATCTTTGTTATCTGGTGATGGGCATTTAGGTTGGTTCCATGTCTTGGCTGTTGTGAATGATGCTCTGGACATAGGGGTGCAGATATCTTTTTGAATTTGGTTTTCACATTCCTTGGATAACTACCCAGGAGAGGTATTGCTGGGTCATAGGGCATTTCCATTTTTAGACTTCAGCCCTTGCCTCTCTTTCATTCAAATTTATGCTCATTTCTGAACAAACCTCATGGCCAGTGGAATGCCCTGTACCAATTAGGTTAGGCTTGGGTTCTTCATGGGAGAACCCATTTTCATATTAAGGTCAGAATAATCAGGCCCCATCCTGCAGATGGCGTGGGGCGCAGGTTGAGAAGTCAGTGGTAACTGTGACTTTGGACCACTGAGTATCCACTCCCTGGGCTACAAAATGGGAATATTCTTGCACATTTCATGGTGGAGGAACCTGAGATAATTCATGTAAAATGATGAAATACTAGTAGGGACTTAATAAGTGGATAAATACTTGTTGAACCCATTAATTAATCAGGTTCCTGAAGGTGGCAATGACCTAAGAGATTAACATTTTCTCATCTTCCTCTGATTGGATACTTTCGGGCCTGTGACTTAAAGTGCTTGAGGCAAAGTTAAACAGTGATCTATCCACACTTGAGCAACCAAGCCTGGCTCAGTTGATGCTGAAGAGCTTCTGTTCTTTAGTTTGACTTCCTGGGCTTAAATCTAGAATTTGCTAATTACGGGCTGTGTGACCTTGGAAACGTGACCTTTTCTCCCCAAACCTCGACTTTCTCCTTTGTGCCATGGGATGATAAGAGGCAACACTCCTTGATACCATGCTCAGGCAGAGTGGTTGAAAGGTACACAAATAGAATCTCATTTAACCCTTCCCACAAGTCCATAATCTGGGCACTTTCATACCCATTATAACGATTAGAAAACAGAGGCAGGGAGGGTAAGTTACTTGCCTGGAGTGCATGTTTAGTGAATGTTAAGCCAGGATTTCAGTGCAAAGAGTCTCGTTTCAGAGCTTACACTCATAATAATCAAATTCTATGGTTCCTCTGTAAAATAATACATACCACCAGGGATTTTTGTGGTGATTACATGTTATAACGCATGTGCAGTGCTCAGCAGACTATAAATATTGTGAATTATTATTATTACTCGTCACATGTGGCAATAAATATTATTTCTACTTAAGCCCAAAATGTGGAAATCTTCCACCCCACTGTGGGGAGAATCTTCCCTCTTAATTTGTTATGTTATATGATGCTGTTGGTTTTCTCTTCCCCCAAGAAAAAAATTCAGCTGCTTTCCTGACTCTCCTCCACCTCTCACCCTCCTTGCGGTGCTCTGGGCCAAGCCTGCTGTAGGGTAAATGAGGTAATCAGGCTTTTTATGTCCTCCCGCCACTACCCTCAATAACCGGCACCTGCCATCCTGCACTCCTCATGATCACGGCTACCTGGTCCCAGGAAGCATGGGGTGTGCATGTGTAGGTGTGAGCACCTGGCTCTAGAAGGGAGGGAATAAAGGACAGTGTCACTTTCAGTGGAGAGGCTGGGAGGTGGGGTTAGAAGTTGCTATCTCCCTGCTGGCTGGTTTCCTTGTTCAGTGTTAGAGACTGGTGAAGTCACCGAGGCCTGCCTGAGAACCTACAGTGAACCTGTAACAGGGTGGTCCCCAGGAAAGGGGGAGGTTCCCTGCCCCACCCAAGGGAGGGTGGAGCTGAGCAGGAAGAGGAGAAGCTGCAGAAGAGACTGAGGAAGGAAGGAAGCAAGATGGAGCCAGGAGACCTGGAGGAGGCGCATGGAGCCTAGAGACATGTGAAGAAACTGTGCTTGTCTTTTGGTCGTGGACTGGGTGACACAGATGTGGGTGAGACCCGTGGGGAGGTGACAATGGCAGCTTTTATCTGGATGTTGATTTTGCTCTTTTCCTTCCGGGCTTGTCCGGTTGTTTGTGACCCTTTTCTGTGGGTCCCCACTGGAAGATGTTTTAGACTTGTGGCAGGCTTTGGGGCCTTGTTCTGGGCCGATCCCATATGGATGGAGTTTTACCCACGAGGGGATGGGTAACTTTGGGTGCTTCATTTAGAAACTAGACTCTTTGCCTCACCTGTATTGTTTCCTAGTTTTTATTAAAGATCCTTCCCATTAAAGTGTCATATGTTTTGTGTTGATGCGGCGGATGGCAGAACCCATTTAAAATAGGCAGGTTTGCGGGGTTTGGGCTGCCCCTCTCCCTGTCCTATAACAAACCGACCCAGCCTGGAATGGTTGTACAACACCTGCCCAACCAGGTCTCTGCTGTTCATGTTGTTCCCTGTGGTGAAAATGGGCAGCTCTGCCCTATGCAGATCCAAAAACTCCTTCCAGGGATTACTCTTTCCTGGAGGTTCCAGAACCACTGGCAGAGAGCTCCAGTAGCAGGGAGTGTAACTGATAGCAGTTTCTTCTGTTTCTGTCAGCCTTCCTCTTGGTCCTGGGATGGGACGTCCTGTCCGGCCATCTTTCTTTCTCTAGTTCCTGATACAGAGCTGGCTTATGATACAAGCTCAGCGCATGTTTGTTGACTGAATAACTGAATCACAGTTAGAATGAGTATCTGTTGAGCACCGACTGTATACTACGTATACCCCACAGCTGTACATGTTGTATTACTAGTGTGGTTACAAATGATAAACATCAATTGAGATGTGCTTAGATGAAAAGGGAATTTATAAGACCATGAAACCTGATTGGTGATTAAAAAATGTTTGCTTTATAATTATATGTGTATGTGAATATGTGATATACTAATTTAACATATACTAATTTTTATTCAGTCTTCTGTATATATGTTTTATTTATGTTCTTTATGTATGATATCTTAGTTATTTTCTTTTTAAGGCTTCAAAACAAAAAATGGAAGGGAAAATAATACCTCATAAAATCAAGTGAAATGAAACCTTGTGATAATGGGGATATTAAACTATATAATTCTGTTTTAATATTTATTTAAAATGTTTAAAATTCAGTACCGTCATTGTTTCTAAGTTATTGGAGGACATTTTGGAAGTGCTGATTGTGGTGAGATGAGCAGAGTGGGGTGAGGATCAGCTCTAGGGACCCCTCAGTTTCCTACTCTCCGTCTTCTCAGCTGACTGACCCCAGCTCTGTGTGCAAATATTTTCTCTTCCTTGTGGGTGCGCCCGGGGAGGATACCAATCCTGAATTTTTTTTTTTTTAATTTTGCTGTCTGGAGAAAACAAACATGGATATTAAAATGTTACAGCATCTGAAGAAAATACATTTTGACTTCTTTGGTCATTGCATGCTGACCTCTTTCTCCATGAAATTTTTGACAGAGATATAGAACAATCCAGTAACAGTGTTATAGGGCAGCCCCGATACAAAATGGGGTGCCTGACTGTGGGTCCTCACCCGCGCGCTTAAAAGAACTTACCAATACTCCACTGCAGGCACACGCGAAAGGTTAATAAAAGGTTTATTCACAAGGGAAGGGGAAATGAGGAAATGTACAACTCAGGGAGAAAAGTGGGAGATAAAGTCTTAAATGCGTCCTACCCTATCCACCGATCTGGAATCCCAAATGGCACTCTGAGAGCTGGCCGCGAGCCAGGAGGTGAGCGACAGAGCATGAGACCCCAAGGCCCACGTGTCTGGTTTTTATACCAAACCTGGCTGCTTAACTCCACCCTCAGGTCCCAGCCACCTTCCCTTTGGTGGTGACGGGATTTGTCTTTCCCAATGTCCTGATGGCTTTGGTCTGGAGTGGGGGTGGAGTCCACAAAGCCTGCATGGAATTAGCTCAGGACATCCTGTCCCCCTAATAACAGAACTGAGCTCCCTGCTGAAGCCCATTTCCAAGTCTCATCCAATCAGGCCTTAACAGGAGCTGGTGTTGCTGGTGCTGTGGGTGTGCAGATCTGTCCTCACCTTCATCTTCGGGACAGTGAGTTCTTGAAGGGACTGTGTCTCTTCCACCTCTGTAGTTCTGTTTCCCAGGTGCCAGGCAGAGTGGAGGCTCACTCAGGGGGTGCCCATGGCATCTGGCTAACTTGAGCCACAGAGGCCACAGGTCAGGTTGGAATTCCTTTCTCCACCTCCAACACTCCACTCTGCCCAGGCCTGAGAGGGAGCCTGGGGGCCTGGCACTTGGGGAGCTGCTTAGTAAAACTGAAAGAATGTCAGGGTCATGGGGAAACTTGAAAATCATTTGGTGAACTGTGAAACTGAGACTAAGCCTCAGGCCACCTAGCTTCCAGCCAGTCTCGGCCTCCTTTGCCCCCAGGTCTCCCTGGCTCAAAGCAACCAGTCTCCTCCTTACACCAGCTACTAGCACAGAGGTCTCCATGCTCCTCCTCGAGTTCCAGACCTTCACCTAGAAGGGGAGCCTGCTGCCAGTCTGTCTTCGAAGAGCTCATTTTTCAGGCGTGCTTCTCTTGGCATAAACAACCCAGGCTCAGTGGGGATGTTTCTTACAAGGAGCAGCCAGGCAGCAATTGCTCCATGAGGAGAGCTCTGACTCATCCCTTCCTCAGCCTCTGGGCTTATTTTAGCCCCACGTTTCTGGA